TGATAATTTGAATTGCATTCTTGAAGTCCTTGGTGTAAGATTGGACCTCTATCCCTTTGTCTCAAGAGCAGAATTACAATCTTAAAGTTTATTAGGACACTTGAAGACGCTAGTCGTATCAACAAAGTGGAGGAGGATTGGATGAGCGCCTCAAATTGGATGAAGCGACTGAGAAACCCAATTTTAAGGGAGAATGGGGCGTACGAACATACATATTAAGAGGCCAGCAGTGTGTACGACGACTAGCAACAACAAGGGAATAGAAATCGGGTCATAGCGTAAAGAAGAGTTATTTCTTATGCAGTAAGAAACCAATGAATTTTGCTAAACGAAGTTTCGTTCATTATAGTTTGTTTGAGCGTTTTAATCCACTTGCTATGATGATTTTACTCGTTATACACAATTCTGTAATGCTGACGTTAATTTGCCACACGTATAACCTTCCTATTTAGATATTTTATTTTGGTTTTATTATGTTTCATATGTCGGCAGACCTGCGTCATCGGTTATACCTAACTTCTAGAATAATTTATAAAATTTTATCGGGCGTTTAGCTTTGTTAATATTGAGTTTAAAACCGAGGTTTAGGATTCTACCTCGGTTTCTATATATAGAGTCGGGGTTTTACACTGTATAATATGTTTCATATTCGAGTAAAATTTGTAAACGTTGCAAAAATGTATATATAATCTGCATAGTTAGAATTAGAAACGTTATATTATGTTCATAATTTTCTCAAATTATTTCTTTTCCTATACTAAAATACGCGCTTTACATCAGTTTTTTTCTGTGTCTTTTTGTACGTTACTAATACCAGATTAACTCATATGTAGTTGTATGCATTGGTGGACCGTAGATTGCTGCATATAACAGACTGTTTTTAATTTCACGGTTAATTTAATTTAATTTAATATATATTGAAGATAAATTAAACTTTGCGGAAAGGATTCCCGTCTCCGTTCCTGTAGACTGTGGGAAGGCATGCGGTGGGATCCCGGAGTTTAAGCTAAAGGCAACTGAGTTCCGTAGCTGGAAGGGTTGTGAGCTTCTGTTATTGCGTATCACGTTCTCTGCTCATTCGTCCGTTCTTTGTATTGATGGCGTGATTTGAGAGTTGCCACGGATCTGACTTTCGCTACAAGATATTTCTTTTAGTGAGAAAATTCAAATCTCCTGACACATCCCGTTCCCATGCCTATTTGTTGTCGTTCGATTTAGATTTATTTTCCTTCACATTCGGTAATGGATATCAGGTTTGTTTGTAGCGTTGATTGCGAAAACTTTTTACGATGATCCTACCTTCCACTTCGCTATACTCAATGCGATGTGCTGAACGTCACATGCCCTCCACAGAAACAAATAGCTGCGAATTCAGCGTTGTTTAATCTGGGTAGACAAACTTGTTTCTTTCTTCGGGCCAAGAACAGTTTTTCTGTTGAACCCGGCAGTCAAGAAAATTACCCTTTTACTATTTTTGTCAACTTATGCTCAAATTCCATTGTATTTAACAACGCTTATTCAGAAATGACAAATTACCGTGCTAAAATATAAATTTCATTTAAATGTACACATATTTCTATGGGGGTTCGTGTTATTTTAAATTTGCGCCTGTAAGAGCTTATATTTGACGTAAGTTTCACTTGCAAAACTTGTTTGTTCCTCTTATCGCATTCAGAAAACTTTTAAAATGTTCCATACCGAAGGTCTCATATTTCGAAAAGCCCACCGCGTGGATTTGTACTTAAGAAGCTAACAGTCGTTTAGCTAGTCAATATATTTTCTCCTTTTATGGAATTTTAATGTTGGTTATCGTGTGTACAATATATTTCTGTTTGTCTCTATCCTGTTAAACGTGAAATAGTCCACACCTCACAACCTGTTTCCTTAAGATTCATTTTAATATTATCCTCCTATGTATGATCTCCATTCGATTTTCCGAACGAATTGTTACATGCTTTTCAAATTTTGCTTATTCATGCTACATGCCCCTCCTATCTCATTTTGCATGACAAATTATGTAGCTCGTTATTTTGCGGTTTCCTTCATTGTCCTATTTTCTAAGTGCTGGATGCAAACTTTCTCCAAATCGTATTTTACACATAGGAGCGTTTGAATGAGAAGCCATTTTCGAAATTGTCACTGAAAATGTGCTGGAAATTAGTTGGACGGCTTGCCTGCTTCTACGATAAATATTCACTGAGTATTCTGAAAACTAAACAAGTTCGGGAGAGTGGCAACAGAACTACTTCCTCCATTGATTTCAATTAAATTCGGGGAGGGAAGTGGACGATGTTGCGGGTTTCCAGCAAATTGGATCTACATGTGACGTAGGAAGTTGAAGGGGGAGAGAGCGAGAGAGTGAGTGTGAGAATGGGGAGGATAAGAGAGTTACAGAACGAAACCACGGGTTTCTAGATTCAGTATGTTGTATGAAGTTATACCTTTGGGAACAATAATTTACAGAGGTTCAACTCCTTCCATCGGGAACTGGGGTAAAACTAATTGTCATTCTGTTCCGTCAATTTGGAGGTTTCACTGTTTGTTGAACTTTTCACTTTTGCCACTGACAAACGCCCTCCGCTCAGAAATGACGAATGGATGTTGGTAAGCAAACAACATTGGGCTTATTACTAGACTATAATGCGCACTGGGGTAACAAAAACTTCATATTACAGAGAAGGGTTATCCAGTTTTATAAAAGTTTACCTTTTTATGAAGTTACAGTTCTTCGTTCTAGATGTTTGTAATTCTAGAAATGTAGCTTATTTTTGAGAAAACTTTATTTAGCTGAAAGATAAATAATTTCTAGGTTGAAATGGTGTTATATATTACCCAACTTGTGTCCAGTTTCCTACATATCTAAGTGTAACCTTCATGTTTCTTACATTTATTCAGAATATATAACCATTATGGAACTCAGTAAGTTGACGTAACAGCAGGATGAAAAATATTAGGTCACATTTAGTTCTCTTCATCAAATATGATATTAGAATAAGGACGGGTTTAATAGAAGGTGCATGTAGCAGGTTTGAGAAGATTGGAAACGAATAAAAATTGTAGTAACAAAATTGGTAGGAAAGTTGTAAATTCTGAAACCTAGGTGTGATTAGGGGGAGGGGAATTTTAAGTGAGTAATCTTCTGGATCTGAAAACCGCATGAAATATTTTAACCAGCTGAGGGAGGGCGTTAGGCAAAAATAAACTTATTTTTGAGTAAAATGAACAGATGTTACAGGTTGCCACATTGGGTTTACATACTAGTTTATATTCACAAAAGTTTGTTTCTTGAGAAACGAATTTTATATTTTCTTTTTAGATAGTATTGTTTTCTGAACATGGCGCATTGTATGGACTCTCGAGAGAATACGAAGGTACATAGAGCAATTTCAAAGGACGGGGTGTGTTTGGCAGCGGACAAACGGCAAACTTTTATTCCCAACACAGGCTTCGTTTGCTGTCCATAATGTCTCCAGAGAACCATTCCAAAGTAAAAGTATGGAGCACTACGTTATAATATCTCTACATAATTTATGTTACACTGTTTTAAATCCCGCGCATTCGCCACGATTCTCCTGCAGAGAAAATATTCTCTTAGAGAATTATTGGGTAATATTAATGAAAATCTCAGCTCTTCTCATAGTGACACCACGACACTTTGTGAGACGTCATTGCATTGCATCTGTTACAAATATTGATACTGCTTAAGGATGCATTTCATCATGATTATGGTGTCAATTGCACGAGTATATGCGACAGACTTTGTTAAAATTGATTGTTCAATACTTTTATGCTATAATTCTGCTGCTTTACTGCAGTGAAGAAGTTTAGACTTTTGTTTTAGAGACTAAGCTAATTCATTAGAATACTTGAATTTAAAGTCAGTGTTGAAGGGCTCCAATAAGTTAGCGTGTACTTGTATTTTTACGATTCAACAATTTACAAACGAGAAAGGATAGAGAAATGTGTTAAAAGAAGCTAAATGTATAATATTGGGTTGAATGGAAATTTTATGCGATTCTAACCAAACAAATCCATAAATTCATATGTTTGCTGTCAACAATTGGACGGAATAAACGAGTGCTTTTTTGAAGAAAAACGTCGACATTTCGTCAAGAGAAAAGGACAACGCCCGCCCCATGCCAATTCAGTGACGCATCAAAAATAAAGGAACTGTATTGAACAATTTTGGACCATACTCCATATTCAACGGACTTGAACCATCTGATTATCATTTATTCAGATCATTGCAGAAACATTTAAATTAAAATAAATTTGAAAGATTCGAAAAGGGGATATTTTGAATCAAAACTAAGAAGTTTATATAAAGTTGGAATTGATAAGCTTGAGACGCTGGGAGACGGCAAGAGCAAGCAATGATAATTATATAATTGATTAAATATTAATATTTTGCAAAAAAAATATTGTGACTTTTCATTGGAAAACGCAAAAACGTTCCGTTCAACCCAAAAAATAAGCAAACATATGTAATTAAGAATTCGTCATATTTTGGTTAAGTTTCTCATTAACGTACAAAATACTGTCAATGTCTTCGAAATAAGAACTTATGTAGGCCCATATTTTAAGGTGGAGATCGAATTTTATTTAAAATTATTATGGTAACCTTAAAAAGTAAAAGAAACAACCCCAATCAGGCATTACATTAAAAAGGCTTTGGGTCAAAATACAGGAAAAATAATTAAATTTTAAGTAAAACCTTCATTTCTCTTTGTGACAAACTGGATGCAGAAAGAAAATAGGATTTTTCGTTCTTATGTTGAAGTGGAACTTGAAAGAAAGGAAGAAAATAAATGGTTAGAAAAAAAGAGTTAGGAATATTTACAGTTTGCGTGCAAGATGGGTTGCTCACTACTGAATGACTTTTGTCGCTTGTTGTCCTTATTTTATGTTCTTAAATTATATTTTGGAGACAAAAATTGATTGTATAGTATCTTAGAACACAGGAAGTGGAAACGACCCGCTAAAGTATCTGCTATTTCCAGGATTAATATGAAGACATCAACGAAGATCGCCCGATATTCGACCCAGGGAGTTCTGAAGAGGAGTTTCCCTTCGTGAGTGATAAATAATTCTATTTATTACGTTCGTGAAGCATATACAAATCTTTAAGATAAAATATAAGGTACAAATTCCAGTAAAACTGATTTTTATCTGTATTGGAAATCAATTTTCGTAGATGCATTAATGTAGCCACAGTATTTGATACACCACCGGTTGCAAGCCTTTAACTCTCTTTTGCTCCAAACGGAGTGTCACATAAATAAAATGCTGTCGAAGAGACCATTTCTTCAGGGATGTTTACTCTACGTCGCAAAGGGATGTGAGAGAAAGAGTAACAGGGAAGAGGCAATAATCTTCCTTGAAATGAAATAAATATTGAAGTTTATGTCAATACAGGGGCGAAGAATGCTTTGGTAAGTCCAAACCCATTGAGGGAGCTAGAGAGACATGTAATTGTAAGGACAGGGCGTACAAATAAAAAGGATGGACTTCAGCATCATGCACGCATATTGTATTGCGGCCGAAATGAGGGCTACAGAGACCTAACTGCTTGCAGCAGGGCATTCTGGCATTGGCGCAGTAATACACCCCATGGATATTTTATTACACACTGGGCCGTGCCACAGTCGATTTAATTGAACTCCCATGGACGAAACAACAATTAACACAGCACTTTTACACCGGGATATGGTTTCTGTATCGATGGCTTGTACATAACAACGTGATTATGGATGATGAACGGGGCATTAAAAATAATTGACAGTATTTTAAACTGTTGTATTTAAATTTAATATTGGAGAATTTTACGAATATTTAAAATTATGCATACAAATAAAGGTGTTTACACATTAGATAACACTTTGTGCCAATCGCGTTTCGACCTCGAGAAGTCATCATCAGTAGCAAAAACTTTAATTTATTAGTCTATTAAAATCATACAATTCATGAAACGATGGTTTGTTATGTTGTTGTTTCATGAATTCATTATATGTACATAAATATGTGGTAGAAATGTATGGCTGCTCCTGCTTCCTTATGTACTGTTGTCCTAAATGTCCGAGTGACCATAAAGTAACGGAAAAAATACATCTTTTATTACTGATATCTGTCCCATGTGATTTGTCTTCCGCGTTAACACAACTCTTACTAAAAAGGTGAGGGATATGTTTTCATTACTCTCCTTCCTGTGGCCAAGTTATTTTGTGGAATTTTTCTGGTGAAGGATTGTATATTCCTTTCTGAAAAATAAATCTTCGTTACTCTCGGTGACTGCCTTTTTATCACGTGGCTCGTTCGTACTTAGCCATGGCATTTTCTACATTCATTTTTTTTAGAAACCTTTTCGTTTGTTTTATGAAGGCTATTACGTCTTTTAGTTTCTATACGTCCACATTGTGATTTTTCACATTCTACATTTCTGTTCAACATAGCGTATTTTGTCATGTTTCTGATGTCGTCCGTCTCTCCATATTTCCATTCTGCCACCCTTTCACTCCACGCTGTATAAGTGAATCAGTTCACACAACGTTACTGATAAACAAAGTAAAAACTAAAACATTCTCACAACAAAGAACTATAATGAACACTGCTACTTACGACATTTAAAATTCTGAAAGAAGTATTTTTCTGGACGGAATTCTTAATTTAAAGGCTAAAATACACCATTTTAAGCTGCATTACACCGTCAGCGTTAAATTGTATCTGCATTGACATTGTAATTTGTACATTCAGAAAATTTTTATATTTTAACAGTTTACATAGAACGACTAAGTGTTTAAATTGTTATGATAGGGTAATTTATGTGAGAGTAATATAATAATGGACAGTTTAAGTAAACAGTCTTATTATTTATTAGGACTACAGTTTACAGTCACTTAAGTTAACTTCTTTCTTGTCAACGAGAATACGTTGTCGTCACAGGTTCGAATCCTACTTCGTGGATAAAATATAACATTAAACGAAGAATGGAACGCACGTAAGAATAACTAGACATGTTATGAAATTGTATTAAATCATTTCAGTTTCTCAGTTGAGCTCCCTCGTACAAAAGAACGTTTTCGCCTAACGCCGAGATTCTGTTTTGCGAATCTTCGTCCCCTGGCGTGTCGAGCACGCGAAACACAGTCCTCCAAAGTGACTCTGTCAATTGCTTCGTTCTTGAGCCTCTGAAAGCCGGACAGTCCTCCAAAGCACTCTTTTATTGGCCGAATTGCCCTTTTCGATTTATCCTGTATCAGTTCTATTGGGTTGCGCTGACAATGACGAGGTAAGCTGATTACAAGGCGACCCATAACATTTGCTGCTGTCTGAGGTGGTAAATACGTCGTTTTTCGACTTGTGTATGGCAAAACACGAAATACTAATTTCATATGGCCATAAGCCACACAGTTCTTTTAAAGCTATTCATGAATGCCTTTCTCTAAGAGACCGTATTTAGGGACCTTGTTTACAGTGGTAAAACTGACATTGTCGGTGATTATGGAGGATCCATATTGTAGATAATTAGAAATATGTTTACAAACCAGTCCTTGGAACTATCAGCGATCATTTATAACTCATAAACAGTGTTTTGCATGTGTGGTATTGGTTAACCCATGTTTCGTCTAAATAGAACTCAGGGCTCCCATCTATTGAAATTATAAGGTTGAGAAATGTTCATAGGAAATTAATTCTAGCCGTCAGGATCTTTCCACAATAAATTTATGTTCATCGTCGTTTTCCTGTATGACTCAACGCTTTTCGATATGTTGTTCGTTGATGATTAGAACCGCTGTCATTTATTTTGTCTCTTAATACAAGAGCGAGTTTCTTTGTCGTGAATAAAAATTTCTTCTTCTTTTCTTGGGTCTGCGAGACCCATTATGAAATAGTTGGTTTGTGAGGTTAGAATTTTTTCATTTCTTGAATCCAGTTTATTCATACAGGAAAACATCGTGTGTTGCTTATCTCTGAAACATTCGGCCAAGAGGTCGGCTATCCTTATTTAGGTTTTTGTGGTTGTTAGCCTGTACCGATAAGTTCTGGTATAGCACCACAAAACGGGCCATAACGGCTTCCTTCCACATCCTCCCGAATTCATTATTCACTATCCATTAGCAACCTTCCATTCGACGCTCCACCTTAATTATACAGCTAAAAAAAGGCCCGTAAATAACTTTAGAAACAAAACAGTATTACCTCTACATAGTTGAGTAATGGAATTCTTTGTGCTTTTTGGTAAACTGTTAACAAGTAAGTTATTTAGGCGCAAATATTAATATGTGAGAACCTAGAAATGTAATTCGTTTGTAGAACTGACTGTACTACTTAGCTAGTTCAGTGCACGGTATACAGTTCTGATACAAAATGGAGTTGGACTGAACGCAGATAAATAATCTGCAGATTATAATAAAACGTATGTCACTGTAATTAGAACCAGCCACCTGGAACGGGGGAGAAAATGTTTGTCTTCTGGGTTGTTGGTAGAAGTTTTTCGACGTTTCAGAGGTGCTTGTTGTCTCCATCATTAGAACATCTCATATCTGTGTAGAGGTGTTAAGAATACATAAAATACCACAGTTGATGGAAATGTGTGACATATCTGTGATGTAGGGTCCGGTTTACTTGTGATCTTTTGTATCACCCACTATGATGTTTAATTTTCCAGTAATGCCAGAAACGAAGTTTGGATGGATGGGTTGATGGTTAGATGGGTGAGTGGGAGGGAGGTTAGATTAGATATATATATGAAATATATATACCGATAAAGATAATGTGATTGAAGTGTCTCAAATTGCGTTTTGCTATAACAGCAGCAGTCAGGTTCCGCGTTTCCACCTCGTTAACGAACAGTTACCCGGCTTCCACACTCGCCTGTAAAAACCTTTTAACCAAATGAGTGTAAGGAATTAAAAGCATGTTTTGTATTTTACTTTCCTCCCACGAATTAAATGACGAGGAATTGGTATTCACTCCTCAAAGCAGCATCTCAAACAGACTCATATTTCTCCAAAAATTAAAAATAAACTGGATCTACGTTTACCGCGTTTGGGATTATTAGTAACACTGCTCTATAGTTTCGGACAAAAATATGATGTAATAATATGAATCAGTGCAAGTAATTAATTAATCGCTTAGTTTTAGTCTTACGTGTTTAAAACATTATTATAATGAATTTTTTTCGTATGGTGGTTATGTAGTTTTAAGTAAGGCGTTGTCGGGCTATTAACTTTTCAGTTGAGATATGCGAGTGAGATTTTGTCTGTATATACTTCTGTGTAAGATTGTACTGGTATGAAAAACATTTTCATCACGGTCTCACAAGCTTGTTATGTATGAACTAGTTAGTACAGGAACACAAATCCTTGGAGATGAGGGCTCATGTAATTACCCTGGCGTGTGGTTGTAGTTGCAGCTGGCTTCAGGTCCACACAATGCACAGCGCACGGCATAATTAGTTAATAAAGCGTCCACTGCGTTACTGTACTTAATGTATGAATTCTGTCTGCTTTATTTCTTATATACTCTACATATTCTACTCACGCTAACATGAAAAAAAGATTGTCAAGAATCATGAGAACCTTAATGTGGTATATTTATTAGTGTGTTATTTGAGTTATTACCAAATAGTATTTTAAATTAGTTTTTATAATTAGAGTAAGGATTTATGAGATATCTTGACAGTAGAGATAAGACAACTGAAGAATCTGACGTGAAGTATGTAATTTTATTCCGTCCCTATCTTACACAACCGTAACAAAACAGTCATTAAGAGACGAAACATAATAAGTCTCCTGTTTCTTAAAGAATATTTCCCTGTGTTATGCATGGATTTTGTGCAACAAATGAAAAAAATGTTTTTTCAGGTCTTATTTTAGCAATGATAGACGCCAGAAGTTTGCATGGTCATCATGTTTGTATTATTAATGATAGAAAATTAAGGGTTGGTAGCCGTCTTGGTATGATATATGTCTTAACCAAGTTTTATAAAATTTCTTAATTCAAAAATTGTTATTGATAACAGACACTCCATAAATTGAGGTCCAGGTGTGAGGCTAGCTCACCCAGGGGCCCA